GAGACGAAAGGGGAAACATCACAACGGACACCGAAAACATTTAGAACAATAAAAGGGAATACTTTTAAAAATCCATACTTTCTTTAATTTTAAAGCCTAAAAGAAATGGATGGATTTCTAAATTCCAGGGATCCATCAAAGTTAAACAAAGAAATTAGCAGCTTAGATAGAGTCATAGCAAATAAGGAAATTGAAACAGAATACAAAGTCTCCCAACTAACAAAAGCCCAGGCCCAGGTGGAGTCACAATAGAACGCACCAAAGAAGATCTATAACCAACACTACTTCGATTATTCAAAAAGATAAAAACAGAGGGAAAACTTCCAAACTCCTTCCATGATGTCAATATCACTAATATGAAAACCACATAAAGACACAACAAAAACAAAAACTATAGGCCCATATCCCTAATGAACATAGATGCAAAAAATCTCAGCAAAATACTTGCAAATCATATATAGACACACATGAAAAAGATCATCCACCATAATCAAGTAGGCTTGATTATTCCAGAGATGAAGAGATAGTTCAATATCTGTAACTTAAAACAATATAATAAATTATAGTATATATATGCATAAAATATACGTATGTACATATACAATATACAAAAATCACATGATCACTCCAGTAAATGCAGAAAAAGCCATTGACAAAATCCAACATGAATTTGTGATAAACCTCCTTGAAAGGATTGGACAGGATGGATTGTACCTCTACATAACTAAGGCTATACCCAGCGAACTTCATTCTAAATGGAGAAAAACTTGAAGCATTCCCATTAAAATCAGGACCCAGACAAGGCTGTCCACTACCTGCACTCCTTTTCAATACAGTGTTTGAAACCCTAGCTAGAGCAATAAGACAAGAGCAGGAAATTAAAGGGGAACTAATTGGAAAAGATCAAATGATCCTTATTTGCAGATGATATGATATTATACATGAGATCTCCAAAATTCCACCAGAAAAACTTTTAGAAATGATCAACACTTTCAGCAAAGTGAGAGGTTACAAAACCAATTTACAGAAATCAGTAGACTTTTTATATTAAAATAATAAGCAATCAGAGAAAGAGTTCAGAGAAACACTTCCATTCACAACAGCCTCAAAGAAAATAAAATATCTAGGGTTAAAGCTAACTAAAGACATTAAAGATCTATTCAATGAAAGCTTTAAGTCTTTGAAGACAGAGATCGAGGAAGACACAAGGTGGTGGACAGACCTCACATGCTCATGGATTGGTAGCATCAATATAGTGTACAAACAAAGGCTACTTACAGATTCAATGCAATCCCAATCAAAATCCCTGTGACATTCTTCACATAAATAGAAAAATCTTTCCTAAAATACATATGGTAGCACAAAAGACCATGGATAACTGAAACAGTCCTGAACACAAAAAGTAATGTGAGGGAGATCACCATACCAGGCCCCAAGTTATATTATAAATCCATAGTCAAAATAACAGCATGGTATTGGGACTAAAGCAGACCTGTAGATCAATGGAACAAAATAGAAATCCCAAACATGAGTTCATGAAATTAACACCTCCTGATATTTGACAAAAGTACCAAGAATACACACTAGAGTATCAGCATCTTCAACAAGTGGTGCTGGAAAAATTCACATGTAGAATAATGAAATTAGACCCTTACCTATCACACTGCACAAGAGTCAACTCCAAATAGATCAGAGACCTCAATGTGAAGTTTGAGATGCTGAAACTGTTAGAAAAATACATAGACAACATCCTACAAGATACAGGTGCAGGAAGGGACTTTCTAAATTGGAAATCAGTGGCTCAGGAATTAAGGTCAGCAATTGACAAATGGACCTCATTAAACTGAAAAGCAAAGGAAACAATCAGTTGAGTAAAGAGGAAGCCTGCAGAACGGGAGAAAATTTCGTCAGCTATTCATCTAACAGAGGATTAATATCCAGAATATACAAAGACCTAAAAATAAAAGGAGCACAAAACGAATGGCACAATTAAAAAATGGGCTGTGGATTTGAACAGTGAGCTCTCAAAGAACAAATAACAATGCCTAAAACACACCGAGAATTGCAATTCAAAACTACTTTAAGACTCCACCTAATCCCAGTCAGAATGCTTAAGATTAAGAGAACAAAGGACACCAAATGCTAGTTTGGATGTGGGGAAAGCAGAACCCTCACTCACTGTTGGTGTGATTGAAAACTAGTGCAACCACTGTGCAAGTTAGTATGGGGAACTCGTAAAAAACTAAAAATAAAATCTACCAAATGATCTGGTCACAGCACTCCTTGGAATACATCCAACAGACTCATCCTATTACAGACACACTTGTACAGCCATGTTTGTTGCTGCTCTTTTCATAATAGCTAATAAAATGGAAACAATCTAAATGTCACTCAACTGATGAATGGATAATGAAAATGTGGTACATTTACACAACAGAGTTCTACTCGGAGGTAAAGAAAAATGATATCATGAAATTTGCAGGTAAATGGATGGAGCTAGAAACTATTTTGCTAAGTGAAATAACAGACTAATGAAACAAGTGACAAGCTCTCTCTCATTTGTGGATCTTAGCTCCAAATCCCTTGATGTGAATATATTTCCTGATACAACTGTGGGAGCCAGGTTAATAGAAAGAAACCATAGAGATAAAGTGGAAGAAGGAGCTCAGGCGAGGGGGGTAGTAGGAGATAGGTATAATTAAGGGTAAAATGGGAGAAGGGGGTCTACATTAACTGCAGAAGGACTAGAGAGGGCTACACAGTGGGAGTGAGAGGAGGTATAAATAAAGCTTTGGTGGTATGAAAAACTATACGGAAATGTAGTAGTTCAAAATTTTACTGAAAAGTACACATACGATAAAGATATCAGTGCGTGTTTATAGCTGAAGGCCGTGTAACCCAAACCACAGTGCCAGACAGGAAGACCTGCCTTTGAGTTGTTGGTCAGGGTAGTTCAAGAGACTCCCAAAATAACAGGCTGTTGCTACAGCCCCTTATTACATCCCAGAACTTGACAGTTAAGACCCTATTACTGAACACAGACCATATCTCAGACAGAATTTAGAGCAATTGAGCTGGAACTGACCTGGAAGCCTCCTCCCTGAAACGAACTCTCATAGTATCAGAAGATACTATACAAGCTTCCAAGAGAGGAAAGCAATCAGTGATCCTACCATCTGTAAAACCTAATAAACAATAATGACTGCCCAGCAAATGCTCTCTATTAGTGCAGTAGTGGCACTCTTATCTTGGGGTAATCAACAACTGTCTAATTGGATCTAGGCCTGCCCAATAAGAAGGAACTCATGTGTGATACTGTAAACATAGGCAGCTACACATGGCTGGAGAGGTCATAGATCCTAGGAAAAACCTACCTTTGTCACATCCCTCAACCAACAGAATTTCTTACTTTATTCTAACTATGCATCCTCATATTTATAGACAAGTATAACTTTCACCTCTCATCAAAGAAACTTCATTGCAAGAAGTGGTAACTATTACAGAGTCTTGGAACTGGTCAAACACAGAGAATAAGTGTCTGTGAGTCACTCCAATTGACACATCTTAAATGCAATCTTTACACATAGGATGAATGCATCTCTCAACTTTTACCAGAGAATTTTCCTTATCCAGCAGATGGTGTTTAACATAGAAATCCAAAAATTGGACAATGTGCAGAGAAGAGGTCACAGATTGTTTATCCCTGAATAGGATTCTATGTCAAACCTCTGCCTCACAAGACTCAGGGATCATTGTGAAAGAGGAGGTAGAAAGATTTTAAGAGTAAGAGGGGGTAGATGACCACAAGGAAACAGAGTCTTCCAGACAGCTGGTCAGTTATTCATATGAACTCACAGCAATGGTGACCGCATGCACAAGTCCTATGCAAACTCAAACCAGAGAAAATCACAGCATAGACATGGAGAAGTAGATAGGAAACCCCAACCCAAATTAAAGAACTTTTGGCAATTGATGGGTGCCGAGAGGGGGAGAGACAGTGTGTTACAGGTTTAAGACTCTTGGTGACCCCAGTGGATGGGCTCACACTGAAGGACATTTGAGAGCACAAATCAGACTCTTTAGGCTGTAATATATGCGTGTGTATACACACACACATATACATACATATATACATTATATATATATAATATATATGAGTAATGGGGTAGGTGTGGATAAGAGAGGGGATCTAAATACCATCAAACTATAATGCCTTAAAATTGAAATGGCAGTGTTGTAAGCAAAGCCAGGAGTAGAAACTGACAGAGCTGTGTGGTTATGTCCTGGATCTAGTGTTTAGCTCTACCACTTATTGGTCAAATGACCTCTGATAAGATACTCAGATTGCTAAACTTAATTATGATTTTTTACTCCAATAACAATAAAAAGCAGCTTCTTTCTCATCATATTCTGGTGACTATTAAGTGGAATACAAAGGCAAAGTACATTATAATGCCTGAGCCAATGTTACTTTGAAAATAATTATCATAATTATAATGTTGGCAGAAAGGATATGAACCAAATGCTGGGGGCGGGCTTGTAGAATTAGCACCATGGGTCTGTGTACAGGAAGCCAAAGAATTTGGCATCAAAATGAATTCGTGTTTAGAGCCTGAAAAACAGATGGTTCCACTGATCCTCCTGGGAAGTAGGGCAGGTCAGGTGGGAGAGAGGCAAGTGCTTTTTCCAGTGTGCTCACTGTTTCTGAGAAGAGCACTGTATTCTGCCCAACATCAGGTCAGGTACATGAAAGCCTTAGAGAATATAAGGATGAATCTGGTTGTGAGGAGAGTATTAGAGGAGGTGACATGTAGAGAACTGGGGTCAGCGAGAGTCCACCGCAGGATCCTGGTCAGTTCTGGAACGTGAGGTCTGTAGAGCTGCCAGGAATCAAGGGAGGATCTGTGCTATCCACCCCTAAAGGACTGAAGAGGCAAGCAGCCGCAAGGGTATCAGAATAAAGATTTTAGTGTTGATTCACTTTTACTTGTTATTTTTAGGTGTTCTTCTACGGTGCCTGGGCTGGCCTCAAACTTGGAATTCTCCCACGTCATCCTCCAGGGTAGCAGGGTTTGCAGGTGGCCACCATTGTGCCAGCCTAAAAGTAAAGTTTTAATATAAGATGCTTTTCCAGGTAAATTGGTAAATTAGATAAAAGGAAGTCAAATAAAGAAATATTGTGAGTTGGAAGATCTGGTGTAATGCCACTGGGTGAGGACAGAGCAGAAAAAAATAAGACAAAAAAAAAAAAAAAGCTTAGAAATTGAATATTTAAACAGGACCTGAGCCACAAAGGGAGGCATGTGCCTGCAGCGAGCTGGACAGCAGAAGAGCAGCTGAGTCATGTGCCTCCACTCCTTCTAAACTTGAGTTATAGTTATTAAATATTCACTGTATCTGAAAATGTTCATAAAATATTTATAAGACATAAGAAAAGATACAGATATTTGTGGAGTCAAAAGTCAATTGATAAGACTTTCTTTTAAAAGCATCCAAAATGAGCACTTTGGAGACGGCTCGATAGTTATGAATACCCGCTGCTCAAGCATGAGGGCCTGAGTTTGAATTCCTTGGGTGGGAAAAAACTGGGCATGGCCCCCAACTGTAGCTCCAGATTCAATGAGAGACCTGGAATCAGTGAGAGACTGTCTCAAGGGAGTAAGTCAGAGAGTGATGGAGCAGGACATCTGATGTAATCTTCAGGCCTCTGTGTACATACAGCTCCCCACCACATTACATGCACACAACAAACACACATGCACACACACACACACAAATTCAAAATCATAACTATAAACTTACCTTTCTTTAGACTTAAAAATTAAATAAAACCATTTAATTAGCACCCACACTATTAGGCTCCACTCTAGCATTTTCAAGACATTTTGTTGATTCTCCTCCTTTATCTGCTTCCCCCTGATGCCATCTTGGAACCCTTCCAACTGCCTTCAGCTCCTCTCTGCTTTCCTGTGACAGGTTCTTGTTACCTCCTGACTTCAACACCTCTAAAAACCAGAAAGTTTAATAAATTTATAAAAGTCCAGAAAAGCATTTTATTCAGTGGTTTATTTTTGCCTCATTTTTAGTAGTCAAAGGAGGAGAAACAGTCTCTGAGCCTTATAACAGTTAAAAGTTCTAACTAAAATTTGGCCCAGTAGGGAGACTGCGGATAGTAACAATGTGTTACGGAGTTTAAAGAAACTAGAAGAAAGAATTCAGAATCTTTTCACCCTAAAGAAATGCCATCTTACCCTAATTTGAAAACATCACATGATGTACACTTGCATATCTGTCCATAACTATGTACCCTGTAAACCTACATTTTATGTGTCTAAGTACAAACACATCTATCTATTTATATCTATTCATATGTGTATGTCAACTAAAGCATTTGCTGTAGAGCTTGGTGTGATTTTCTTTTTAATAATTACTTATTTTTTAAAATTTTATGTGTATGAGTGTATGGCCTGTAAGACTGTAAGTGCACCCGTGTCATTCAATGTGTGCAGATGTCAGAAGAAGGCACTGGATCTCCTGGAACTGGAGTTAGGACAGTTGCTAGCCACGACGCCGCCGTTGCTGGGAACCAAATCTGGGTTCTCCGTGCTTTGAACCACTGAGCCATCTCCAGCCCCTGATTATTTTTATTGTTTAAAAACAAGTTATGAGGAGGAAACCGATTGAGAAGAAAGTCCCAGAGAGTAGGATGGTCCCACAGTGCTCCATAGAGTGCTTTTGGGGTATCAATAGTGGATTCTGGCAGGGATTTAGCTTGCACAGTGCACTAGGATGTCTACAAATCCCCCTGCAGGCTCAGCCCTGCGGTGTCCTTGTGCTTGCCAGTTGCGGTGGGGTGGGATGCCCAAGCTAGGCAGACAGTTCAAGCAGAGAAGCCAGGGTGTTGGAATCAAGGGCGTAAAACCGAGTCCTTAAAGATGTGATCTGCCCACTTGTATGTGCTGCATAGATAACAAGAAAACTTAAATATCCTTCTTAACAGGAATATGTTTTCATTTATTTATACAGTTATAAAATGATTGATAAATTTAGTGGGGGAGGTGCAGTCCATGAATCTCCTGTTCTGGTAAAAAAGAAAGATTTTTTTTTTGATAAGATATTGCTCTGATAAGAAAAGATGTTTAAGTTTTAAAACCTGTATTATGAAGAGGCTTAATTGTATTAACTGATTTGTATTAAAAGAAACACACACGTACACGTGTTGCATGTCCATGCACAGACACAAACATACATATCACATAATTTCTCAAGTGTGGCATGCCAGAGAAATGGGGTTGAAATGAGAAAATAGGGAAGTTTTTACTTAACCCAATAGTTATTTTAACACTTCTATTTATTTTTTTAGACAGACCCTCACTATGTAGCCTTGGCTGGTCTGAAATTCACTGTGTAGACCAGTATAGCCTCAAACTCATTGAGACCTGCTTGCTTTTACTTCCCAAGTACTGGGATTAAAAGTGTGCATCACCATGTCTAGCTGACTGACTGACTGATTGATTGATTGATTGATTGATTGATTGAACACTTGACAGAGACTATCTTTAATTGAAGTAGAATTGAAAGACTTAAACCAGAAATGCCAAAGTGAGTGAGACTGATTGAGCCAGTGACACTCAAAGATTCTCTGGCAATAGTCTGTCTCTGACATTTCTGGCAGTTATAATAAAACATCATAGACTAGATGGTTTATAAACATTTTTCCCATAGTTCTGGATTCTGGGAAGTCCAAGACCAGGGTGTAGACAAATCAGTGTCTTCAAGGCCACTTCCTGGATGTCTAAATTTCTTCTGTGAGCTCACCTAGCTAAAGTGCCATGGTAGTTCTTGGTGTCCTTTAATCAGAACATTAACACCATTCATGAGGATTTTGCTCCCATGATGTAATCACTCTAGGGGCCCCACTGCCCCAAACCATCACATTAGGGAGTGGGTTTTAATATATTCAGGAAAAGTAACCTATAATTATATTAGTCATATTTACTTAGGCATAAAAATTGATGTGTGTTTCAAATTATAATAATTCAAAGCATGGCATGCTTGAAAATTCTCCCCCGGGAGACGCAAAGTCCTCCGTGGGTTACTAAGAAAATCGTATAATGCTCGCTTTGGCATCACCTTTATTAAAATGGGAACGATGCAGAGAAGATTCGCATCACCCTTGCTCAAGGAGGATATGCAAATTCATGAAGCATTCCATATGAGTGAAGAATTTCTAAATGAAGAGGGTAATGCAAAAATTAGCAGCAATTGTTATTACTTTAATAATTATTTTATTTTGTAAAGGTTCCTTTCTATTTAAAGTCTTGAAAGATTCCAACTTTTTATGTATATGTAGGTACTTAAAATTTTTATTTAATGTAAATTATCCTTTTCATCAAGTGTCCTCTGATAATTTTGTGCATAGAAATTGTGTAGCATTACAAAACCAAAAACAGAGACTACTTTCTTAGATAAAGTTTACATTAAGCACCTATGGCTTTATCCACAGTTCTAGAATTAGATAACAAAAGCAACAGTGACATAGATATACAGACAGACATAGATATCTACAAAAATAAGAACCTGCAGATTCAACTATCAATGTAAAAGCATAGTAGGTAATCTGAAATCGACTACGTATCTTCTTTAGTGGCAATGGTGATCAAATCCAGGGCTTCTTGCATGCTGGGCAAATGCTTCACCCCTCAGCTGTGCCACCAGCCATGGTAATTTCAATGATAAAATATAAATAGGAAGATACTGGAAATATTTCTAAAATCCATCATCCACTGTTATACAAGTCCTTTTTCTTCTCTGCTTTTTTTCTTGTTGGCTTTTTCCTCTCC